AGAATGGATGACTCCCCAACAAGTCAAATATGAAGGCTATCATTCTTTTTTGTTTTCAGTGAGGAAAGCCCTTCAAGCGATCAGAGATCTTTTTGTTATTGCAGTTCATAAAGTCTGTTTGTTTTTTGAGACAGGGTTTCACGCTGTAGTTTGAGACTGACCTGGAACTCACCGTGTAGCTCAGGCTGATCTCGAACTCACAGTCATCCTCCTCCTGATCACAGCCTCCCGAGTCCTGGGATTACAGGCGTGCACCATCACGCCCGGGCCCATAGAGTATTTTTAACATTCAAAGTTCTTTTACTGTCATTAGGTTTCATAATAGCTGCTTAAGAGGGTATTTCCTGTTATTCAGGACAAAGAGGTAGCAGGATTTACAGCCATGGTACAGGTTAGTGACAGAGCTGGAAGTAGAACTCAAGCCTTTTTGACATTTTTCAAAGTTTAATTTGCAGACAGATCACCTAGGAGATCTTGTGAAAATAGATTCAGATTCACTGGGCCTTAGTTTGGGCAGGAAATGCTGCGCTTCTAACTGGATTCCAGGTTACTGCTGGTCTGGACAACACTCCAAGTAGCCTAACAAGTTGGGCATTAAATTCCCCTGCTTGGCTTTCCTCATGTGTATTTGGCAAAACAGAAGGATTTTCACACCATGTTTAGCAAAATAAATATTTCCCACCACAAAAAAATATTTTAACACTGTTCTCAAGCAGAAACAAATGACTTTAAGATTTCAGTCTGTGTGATACCTTCCTTCTGCACATAATCCACCATAATTATCAGGCAGGGCAGGTCGTGCACCAGTGACCAGGAGCAAAGCTAGGTGGGAGCATGCTTGGATACTCCCAGCACTTTCCTACCTTTATGACTTGGCTGTATTGGAAGTTGTGATGTCTCAACCCCAGATGCATTTGTTCTGTGGAACTTGCGGCTGTGCATCTTTTGGTAGTCCACACATTCGAGACACTCGAAGGTGCCAAGAGATAAGTGCTCTGTGTTTTGGGTGTTCTGTGTGGCTCAGTGGGTGGCATTTCCCCAAAAGGGCCCAGGGAGTCTCCTTTGCCCAATGTACAAAATCTGATTTGTAACCACACATCCAAAATGCTCATCAGCATAGTGCGGTTTTGCTGAGAAATGTGTGTGCGGAAGAGCTAGTAGCTACCTCTTCCCAGAGGCTAGATCTGATTTGGGGTAGGTCTGTGGGTTTGCATAGGTCTAGCAAGGAGAAGGGGCCTCCATGTGGCATCCTTGTCCCTTCCAGTACCCTGGGATAGAGCTGAGGGAAACAGAAACTGACAACCCACAGGTACCTTTTTTGAACAGCAAGTGTGACTGCTTGACTCTTTCCTTATAACTGGACTGATTGGTAAGGGACTTGCTTTCTTCAATAAAATGACCTTTGGCACTAGGATGGCTCTAACTACGACTAAAGACAAATATCATACTACTGAGGTACTTCCAATTATCAAGCACATCCTGGGTTAGTTTCAAGGAAAGAAAACCTGAATTGTTATGGGCTTAGATATCAACCAGAGCACTAGGTTGGAAGTGTGAGGGGAAGTGTGATAACAGGACTGGGGGATTTTGAAAGAAGATACATTTCTTACATACCATTAGGTACTCATTGTTTCTTCACTGTATCCATCAACTAATATGTTGAGTTCCTACTAGGTGTGTAAAGCTTCATACCAGCCATGGGGCTAATGAGAAAAAAAGGAAAAAAAAAAAGAAAAAGTGAAGGCTCTACACCTGAGCAGAGAAACTAAGAAACAAAACTAATAAGCATGGCAATAATCATTGCTAACTGGCCCAGAGTCATCAACCTTCAAAAGTCGTGCTTCTGACTCCAATGGCAAGAGAAAATTTTAAAGGGGAAGTGAAATTACAGCACGACCCAGAAAGACAGTATTGTAGCGTAGGGGTAATAAGCAAAAACACTTGAAAATTACAAGGTCTCTGAAAAATGTGGGAATGGACAGTTGTATGGAGCAAAGCTGTGGAGGAAAAGGCTGAAAAGGCAGGTTGAGTCACACTGCTAAATGTCCCAGGCGTGGAGATTACTCGGGCCTAAGGGCAGGGGAGAGTCACTGAAGTTTAGTCATCTTCAGATTTCACTACTAAGGGCAGCAGTTGGGGCTTCTTGAGAATAACACATGAGCTTTTAAGGTAAAAAGAGACATTTAAAAAAAATTTAGATGTGCTCCCTTTGGCAGCACATATGCTAAAAAAATTTTAGGACCAGGGACTAGCGTTCAGTGGTTCTGTTGCTTGCCACACAAGTGCAAGGTGCCAAGTTTGATCTCCAGCAGAAAAATATATTTTTTTAATTTCTTGGCATTCCCCATACTAAAGAGTTTGTTTGGTTCATACAATTCCAATTTTCTAATCTTGCTCTGCCACTGGTTCCTTGGTATTAAGAAAGATAATTTCTCTAGGCCACAACTTCCTCAAATATAAACTGAAAGGATTAATCAAAACCATTTCTAAAATTTTTAAGTAAATTATTCCACTTCTAAATCAATTATCAGTTTGACTCTCCCTGTAGCTGAAAAGAAAAACATGTTACTAGCCTGCCTAAATGATATTGAAATGTTTTAATTAAATTTACGGATTTGTTTCATCTGCATACCAAAGTAGAAATCTACTCAGTGGGGAAAAGAAAATGTGCAGTTTATTCACTGAGCCTTTGTTTTTTTATAAAAAGTATCTATGGAGAATACATGACCGCCTTTTTGATTGTCTAATAATTATTAATTTTATAATGATTTCTCACCATCATAGATTAAAAACTTTAAAAGCCAAATAGCTTTTAGCAAAATTTACTCTTCAATGTCACAGTAGTAACATTACTAATTTGACCTTTGCATTTTTCTTTTTTTTCTTTTTTCTTTTTTTTTTTAGGTACCGGGGATCCATGGGAGGTCCTTGCCCTTGCAAGGCAGGCAACGAAACCACTGAGCTAAATCCCTGGCCCAACCTTTGCATTTTTCTATCACAGGAAACATCACTAGGTTAAATTCATTTTCAAAATAAATTGCATCATAAAAGAACAAATTCATTTTTCTTCTTAGGAACTTCTTTTTTTGGGGTACCGGGGATTGAACAGGGATCCTTGAGCTTGTGAGGCAGGAGGTAGAACCCTGGCCCTCATTTTTTTCAAATTGAAATTTTTTAAAAATTGAAAAACTTTTCTAAAAGCAAAAACAAAATGTTCATGAAAATGTGTGAAAGTTTTACAATCATTTCTGTGGCTTCTAGGGTGAATCAACAAACCTCAGTTCTAGTTTCTGCTCCCCCATTAAGTCTATGACGGCAAATATCATTTATCTGATTTACTTTTTCTTTGAAATACCGCAATTATCATCTTGCTTTCAGTTGTGTGTTGCTTCTCTCCCAGATTGAAAGGGATATTACTCTGCAGTCACAGAACAAACTTTTTTTCACTGAGGCAGTTGTACTTAATTTCCCAAGTCCTATCTTTTTCTGTGGCATATATGCATTTGAAATACCAAAGCTCCATTACTTTTTTTCCTTCATTTTAATTTCTAGCCTTTTATTGCTCTCTTTCCATCTAAAGTCATGTCCTAATCCAAACTGGAAATAAAGCAGCATGATCAGAGTGGAAGTAGGTTTTAACAGAAAAAACTCTAAAGAAGTGATACAGAGTTTGCTTTTGAAACCAATTCCTAAAGTTACAAGCTTGCATCAAATACTGTAATTTTCAAATAGGACCGGGAGTGTACCTTGGTGGTAGAGCATTTGCCTAACGTGACTTGCTAGGTTCCATCCCCAGCACCATACACACACAAAAATTTAAAAAGTAAAGGCAAACCAAACTTAAGAACAATCTCTAAATGGAGAATCTGATGTTCAAAATTTCAGAGATGCTAAAGCACAATAAAGTTTTGTTAGTGAACCTACTAGTGAGCCCAAGAACATAATACACCCTTCTAGTACCTCAGTGAGAAGAGCCACGGCCCTAAAGCTGAATATACAGGTAGACACTTCTTTAATAGAAACCAAATCCCATACTACATCCTGTTACAATGAAAATCTCAATAGATTTTGATTATTTTCAGCAACATATATAACCTGACAAATGCAATGAATTGACAATGTCTTAAAATGTGAGAGTTAAATGAGTTACTGGATAATGGAGATAACCTCAATAAAATATACTCATCCTGTTTGACAGTAGATGAAATATAAAGTGGAAAGGCAGATCAAAGAACTGTGCTTTTTCCTTGAATCAGACTTGGATAATGGAATGAACATATACTAATTGGAGAAGTATTTAATTAATTTTCCTTTCAATGCATGTTTCTTGTTACCCATTTTGTTACAATCCTTACATCTGTGTCTCTATTTAAGTACAAGGTATTTTAAGTACTAGGTATTCTTTAAAATAATTTTCTATTAACTATAAAAGTACACTCGCTAAGAACTCTGTAAAATCATTTTCTTTTAGAAAAAAACATCAAATATTCAGGGAACTTTATTTTAAATGATAAATCAGACAAGCTCTCATTTATCCAAACATGCATAATTCAATCTGAATATAAAATGCACTCAGTTGGTAAATTACATATGAAATACAAAGGGAATGCAAGTTTACCCTTACGAAATGATTGCTGGTTATAGCACTTTAACAGTTAAATTAATCAAAACATTGTACAGTGTTTTTAAAAAAAGCCTTAAAGCCAATTACCCATAGTAAACCAAAGGAAACTGTGATATGGAATGATTTGATTCAAAGCAAAGAATAAGGCACCTGCTATATAACTTTAGAGTAGTAACTTTCAGTTTTAGTTATAATAAAATAGAATCAACCAGGACCTGTTTCAAAGAAACAAGGGATTTATTGGGTGAGAAAGGCAGATAACAAGTTAAAAAAAACAAAAACAAAAAACCCTGCTGTCTCAAGGTCAGTTGATTCCTTTCTTATTTGAGCAGTTAGATTCCTAAACATTTTCTTTAACCACTCTTTTACTTTCTTTGACAGTATTGGAAGTTCCCTATGAGGTTCACACTGTGTATAGACTGGGTAGCAGATTTCCCTTCTGTTCCTCTTCAAGCTTATTTAAAAGACATCCTGAGGCAATTAACAAAGCAAACAAGCAGCCTCGTTCCAATTCTTATTACACAGATGCTGCTCAGGCTTTTTGCACTAAGCTATGGCTAAGTATATTAATAGCCAGTATTTGAAGTTTTCCACAAACTCGCATATTAGAACACCCAAAACCTACCTTATCACCCTTGCCCTATTCGTAAAAAGAAAATCTGATCAATCATAATATATAAAATCATACAAGGGAAGACCAAACTGATCATTATCAGTAAATCCATTTAATTCCAAATGCCACTTTAGTCTGATGTATCTAGTACCCTAAGGGAATTTCAATCATAAACACAGAAAAAGTATTTCCAAACTAAACATAACTTATCGATGTGCTTTTTGTTTTGTTTTGGTATTAAGTCTATTAACATGCTGTCTTAGAGGACACTGGACGCAACAGTATGTATGATGAGGCATCCACTTCTAGTATTTTTCCCTAAAGTTTTATCTAACATAGTAAATCCCTTTGATATATTAAAATAATTCTGGTGAAATCAATGTGACATAAACAAGCCTTTCCTGCCTTCACTCTATCATGGTAACGTTTAGCAAAACTGCAGTAACTGCTTAAATTACAAAATGTTCAACCAAGTTTTTTTTTTTTTTTTTTTTTTTTAATGGGATCTGAGGTTACTATACTCACACATGCAAAATCCAAGGTAGTATAACAGAAATAACAACATTAAAGCAGATGTAGCTATAAGCATCTCCACTTATATTATGCATTTAGCTTTTGAAAATTTTAGGTACTAATGGTTGTAGCAAAACTAGGCTGTGTAGTTCTTCCATTTACATATAAGCACCTTATTACAGGATAGTTACATGGCCCTATAATAGTGTGCTTTCAAGAATAATAAAGTGCCTAGCTATACAAAAAACTTAGGATTCCAAATTTTAAATAAACTAATTGCATTTACAATTAGGGTTCATAAAATCTAGACCTTGTCTACACAGATTTAATCTAATTACCCATACTCTATACTGTTTTAATAATCACATAAAAAACGTATTCTTTACTGGCCGAATAAGGGTCTGCTACTACAGCTTAACAATCAAATTTTATTGCTTTATTCATGTGGTGCTTTTGTAAGGCACTGTGGTATGGATTAGAAAATCTGGAATGACTTGTGAAGAACCTTGGAATGACACATGAAGGATGATTTGAAAGTCATTCTGAGGCAGGATGCTTTACTGAATTGTTTTTAACCAGAGTATCAAACATCGGGAATGAGTTCAAGTTAAAATTCACAGGAGAATGGAAACATCTTAAGGTCAGTCACTTCACATGCCCATCCTGATACTTTGAATAATCTGGAAAATTGCTGTAAAGAAAAAGGACAAATATTAAAACAAGCTTTGAATAAAACAGGTCTGATGACTGAAAAATATTAAGGTAGCTGAACAATTTAAAATTATTCTTATATAATCATTTGCAAATACTACCTACCTTCAGTATAAATGAAGACAGTCCTATCTTAAATAAAACAATTAATGCCCATAAGTAGTAGTACTTGCTGTTGTTGTTGTTATTATTATTTTGTAATGCCAGTTACTGAACCCAAAGCCTCAAACATGTTAGGCACGTCCTCTAACACTAAGCTACATCTCCAGATCAAAGTATAATTTTTTAATCTCAGCTTCCATAAATTTTTATGTGTAAGTGTCCAAAAGAGCTTGCAGTTAGGGAAGAACTTAAGCACTAAAGCAAACAGGTTTTTCTAGCACACAAGTATTTTCGTTTACCCCTAAATAATTAGGAATCCTTTTAAGGCCTGGCCTATAATATATGCATATTTCCTCATTTTCACAAAGCTGAAATTCAATAATCTCTGGGTTATATAAACTGCTTGGCTCTTAGCCATTAATCAGGAAAGCTTCCAACTGATAGGTTTAGGAGGAAGGCAAAGAAACCTTAAATAGAAGTCTCAGTAACTTAGAATGTTGAAAACACAATCATCTACTTCAATATTAACATCTCACATATTAAGATGATAAAGACAAGAAAGACATTTTGTAATACATTTCCAGAAGCAAGAATCTGTTACTGTAACAGCAGCCTGCCCCGATAACTAATTTTTCTTACCATATGTCAAACATCCCTTTTAACTTAAAAACATTTGTCTCGCACATTAAATTGACCAATAGGTACGCTTCCTCTATAGGGAATTCTCTGTGCTAACAACTAAACTTTCTAAAATATACCCAATCTTGCCATTAAGGATGTTAGACTGTGGTACAGTTAAATCCTACCATCCATATGTACAGTGTGTGATGTCCGTAAGTTTCTCTGCAAAGGCACTGATAATGGGGTTGCAAGACATTCTAAATTCACATTCTGAGTCCCCCCCTCCCCAGCCCGATCATTACCAAAGATCTGACCTCTTTTCTGTTCTCCTCTGAGCACAAATCAAGCTGGGAGAAGTTTCTGGAGCACCACCCTCTGTGCATATGTGGAACAAGTCTTTGGTTCAGAAGAAACATTATTGTGTGGTGCTCCGGGCAGGTGGGCTGAGAACTCCGCAAGTAGGGCTCACCACTGATCCGTTACCACGTCACCCCAAACTTTTCACCCGGCACCCTACTCAATAGGTGCCCCCCCAATACTTACCAGAGCCACAAACAACAAAAATGAAAAGAGCCAGTAACCAGGGTCCTACCGACGCCTTCTCTTCAGGGGCATTTCTCTGAAAAAGGAAAATCCAGTTTCAGGGGCAGAGGAGCCATTTGGACCCGGGTTCCCACCACCGGCTGCGCCCGGCTCAGGTCATCGGGCCCCAGCCCTCCCTTCCTCACAGGTGTCCCGTCCGGTCCCGAGCCCTCAGCTCAGCACCTTTCTCTCGGTCCCGGGAGCCCGGAGTCGGCCGAGACTGGGGAGAAGCCGGGCCTCGGGGCGCTGGTTTCAGCCCCGGCTGCGGAACAGAGAGAAGCGCCTGCTTTCTCCTTACCGAGGTCTTGGCGACGTTGCCGCGCTGAGTGATGTTCTTGCTGTGCTTCTCGTTGGCCATTCGGATCCGCTGCTTGGCGACCATCTTCGCGGCGCAACCACCTGCCCCGGCCGCGCTCGGACTCGCTCGCTCGCTGCGAGGCTCCGCTCTTGATGCCCGCGCAGCTGGAGCGGGGAGGCTC